GGCTGCTCCGTCCTGCGCCCCCGCGGAGCCCCCGCCCCGGGCCGCTGAGGGCAGTCGCTCTGCAGGGCTGGCGAGAGCCCAGGGGACCGGAGCAGAGGCCCATCCCGCCGAGGCAACCCCTCTCTCGGGTACCCCTGGGGTGGGGGAGGTGGGGCACCAGAGGGGCTCCCGGGCAGAGACCCTGTGGTGGAGCTCCGGCTTGCCGTGGCATGGGGGGCAGGCAGGTGCGGGGACGGTTCTGTGCCCGGGCCGGGGTCATGCTCCCTGCCTGCGCCCGTGAAATTGGCAATAACAGATCACCTTGGTGCGTCCTGGTTTTTCCTGCTCGGCATCAGCGCGGGCTCCGTCTCCCGCAGCACCTGCAGTGAATCGCGCAGCTGCCAGGGCTGGTCCAGAGACGGGACGCCGCTCATCACTGCCTGGCTAAGGCATGTCGTCGTCACTGCCTGCCCAAGGTTTTGCTCTGGCTACAACCCAACCGGGTCCCTCCTGTTGCCTGGCTTTCAAAAGTTTAAAATTTCAACTGGTTTCCATAATGGAGCTGAAATCAAACCAAGCTTGCATCAAGCCCCTGCGTCCCCCGTGCTCTCCCACCCAACCGCTTCTGTCTCAGGACAGAGCTGCTGGCTCTCTCCCCCCTCCCCACAGGGCTTATTTTTGCCAGGCTTGCAGTCGCTGCAGGCACTCCCGCGGATGGATGGCAAAGGGCAGGTCTGCTCTTCTGCCGGCTCTCCAGGCCACACTGCTGGCATGCCTGCAGGCACCTCCTGGCAGGAGCAGGAGCTAGGCTGGGGGCAGGAAGGTTGAACAAGGACCCATGGCTGCCCCGGGGGCAGGTGGCACAGGAGGCTGCTGAAGGTTGTCCCTGTGCCACCGCAGCCCTGCTCGGTGCCGGGCTGGTGGCTCTGTCCACTCTGTGCCAGCATCTCGGCTGGCCTGTCGGGGTCATTACAGCCGAACGCCTTCCTGGGAGGATCCCCGCCCTTTCCCTGAGCCTGGCGCCAAGGGGAGATGGGGAGGGGGCAGCTGGGCCCTGGGCTGGAGGGGCTCAGCACTGCTGGGGGACCGCGGTGCGGCTGCTGGTGCTGTGGCGGGAGAGCAGCACCCACCTCGGCACCACCGACGAGTCGCTCGCGTGCTTGGCTGTGCGTGCACGTGTTTTTTCCTAATTAATCCTTCACGGATTAGAGAGCACTTGATGTTGATTCCCCTAATGCAGTGCCAGAGGTGTAAGGAGATTAATTAGGCACAGTTTAGAAAAGTTATGCAAATCAGGTGGCATTGGGGAGTGGCAGGGTGGGGGCCAGCCCTGCTCGTCCCACCCTCACTCAAGTTGACTGCCTCAGCAGCATCACTCAGTTCGTGGGTTTGCGCGGCCACCGAGCAGCGTGCACACACGGGGGTGACCGGGAGAGCCTGGAGGGATCTTGCGGTGGGGTGGGATGCTGCCCTGCAGAGCAGTGGGGTGATGAGATGCTGCGGGGCTCCCCCTGCCCACAGAGCGCCCGAGGCTGCAATCCAGCCTTTATTCATGGAGGCTTTCCTTTAAGTAATGATTAAAAGGAGATGAGGGAAAGCCCTTGACATAAAGCTAACTCTCCAGAGCCTGAGACTGGCTGCAAATGAGATGAAAATAATCCCCTGGTCACCAGGGACTTGTGCAGGAGAGGAGAGCAGCTCCATCTCCCCAGGGCTGCAGGCAAACATGCTGCCATGGTGGGCACAGGGCCAGTGGGGGCTGCTGCTCCATGCCCAGCTTTGCTCCCATCCCCACGCCGCAGGGTGCCCACAGTCCCCAGAGCACTCTGCATGTGGCATGGGGCAAAATGCCCGTGACCTCCACAGGGACCCAGCACCTTCCCTCGGACTGACCCCCAGGCCCTGGGAACGTGCGCCCAGAGCCACCCGCACTGGGCAGGGACCCGATTCCCCGCCAGAGCCATCTTGAGATCATGGAGGAGCCCAATTCATTCCAGTGCTCTGCAGCAGTTTAAAAACAAACCCAAGGAGGGCGGAGAGAGGAGAGAGCAGAGAAGCGGTTCCTAATATGGCAACAGCAAATGTAATTCTATTACCTTGATTTATTGATTGCACTTAGAGCAATTACTGGCTTTCACCCCATCACCTGCCAGGGAGCGGGAGACAGCGAGGAGAAGGCAAGACAAAGGCGGCCGCGCGTTGCCCAGGGCACGGCCGGCCTCCGGGGAGGCTCTGGTTTTGTTTGTGCCGGTTGACGTGGGGGGAGAGCTCCCACCCAGCTGTGCGGCCGCAGCAGCATCGCCTCCACAGGCAGGAGAGTGGGGTGGTTTCCACCCGGTCAAGGAGGCTCCTCAGGAAGCCAGAGCCAAGCACGTCTGCTCTGCAGAGAGGCTGTGATGCTGGCAGCGCGGGGACAGAGCCCGGGCATTACAATGACTTCAGCGATGGAGGGGATGCAGGGCTGGGGTGGGCTGGGGAAAGGCGAGGGTCCCCGGGACACCAGTATGGTGGAGCAGCTGCAGGCCCCGCTCTGAGCCAGGGGGTGGGTTTCAGCTGTGGGCCCCCTCACCCCTCTGCGCCCAGCCAGCCTGGAGCCAGGCTGGGGCAGGGGAGTCGGCATCCATGGCAAAGCCCTGGAAATGCCAGGGCTGAGGGCGAGCTCGAAAGGAAGTGGTGGCTTTGGGCTCCGTCCACGGCTCTGCCAGGGCAGCACTGGGGTGCTGGCGTGAGTTGTGCTGGAGCATCACCCTATCGCCTCGCAGAGATGGGGCTCGCACCCTCTGCCTGAGCTCAGCTCCCGCCACCCCGGGGCACCAGCAAGAAACCCCAGCGGGACTTGCCAGCTCTGCCTGTGCCAGCCCAGCACCCATCTCACACCGGGGAGGGGACATGCACCGGCCCCTCTCTGGGCCCTGTGGTGAGCGGGATGCTGTGGGTTGGTGCTGGGCTTGGCAGGAGGTCTAGCCCTTTGAATGACTGGAAAAAATCAGCAGCCCCAGGGCTGGAGGAAGGGTGAGTTACTTGACTGAGGTCAGAAAGTCCCTTTAAGGTTTCTTTTTTCCCTGCTTGCTGCAGATACTGGCACAGAAGCAAGAAAATGATTGTGCTTTTTACTGCCTGAGCCCTCCAGACAGATATAAACAAACAGGATCCAGACCTGGCTTTGGAGGCAGATGAAATCAGAGTGAACAAGACCACTGGGCTGGGAGGCACAGAAATAGGGTAGCCTCGCTGTGCAGTGAAGCCTGGCAAAGCCTCCCGCACCGTCGCCTCCCAGCCAGCCCCAGGCTCCCTGGAAGCGCTGCCCGGTGACGGAGATGCGGAAAGAGCAGAAAATGTCCCCTTTGTGGGTGCGGGCAGTGGCCAGGGGCTGCTGGCCCCTTCCAGAAGCTGCCTGCTGGCCACTCTGGCTAATGGCAAAGCGTGAGCGGGGAACAGCCTGTGCATCAGCCTGATGGCTCCCGGGGGAGGCAGCAGCCCATACCCCTGCTCCACTGCCCCCCCCCGCCAGCCCGTTGACCCCACACCGCCTGGGGTGAAGCTGGGAGCCCGCAGGGCCGGTGCGAGCCCCGGGGCTCGGCTCAGCCGTGGGCCGCGGCGAGCGGGGTCTGGAGCAGGGCGCGGGGCAGAGGGCGAGAGGCTCCGTCCCCGCGGGGGCCGCTCGGACGTGGCGGGGGCC